CGGGCCGAGGAGGGAGGGCGCCACGGCGCGACGAATAATATTAATCCAAACGCGACCGCCGAGCAAAATCCACTTAGGGAGCATTGAGCGCGCGCGCCGGGCGGGGCGGGCGGGGCGACAGTTAATCACTCAAGTGTGGCAGCGCGACCTTATCACCGACGGGGCAGTGGGCCTGCGGGGGCGGCGCGGGGGCGGCGCCAGCCTCCCAGCAGCCTCCCCGCTCCTCTCACCCCTCCTGAACCAGCAACAACCAGAGTATCAGATTTGCAGCGATTTGCGGCGATATGAGCTCTGGTGGTGGTTGGGGTGCGTGTGGGGCCGCCCGCGCGCGCCACCCCACCCGGGCTGCTGCCGGTTGATTTTAGAGCAGTTTGCAGGCAAATTAGAGCCGCTCATGTATGATTATACCGCCGCGAGTGCCTGCTAATCGTGAGGCCGGGGAGCGGGGCGAGTGGCGAGTTGACACGCGGGTTCAAATTCCGCCGCACTCTCAAGGTAGACACACACTTAGTGAGCAGAGGTTTTGTTTCTGATGGAGCTAATGATGCGGCTGGTGCCCGCACCGCGCGCGCCTTGTTGTTGTTGTTGCTAAGAGTCCTGATATATCTGCGTCCCCCATGACAAGACGGCGCCGTTTTACGCCCGTTAAATTGGGTAATGACGGGCGTTTTATATACGTGCGCGCCTCGAGCGGGGGGCAGGCGGGCAGCCGAGGCTCTCTGATGGCTTACTCGCTCACGCGGGTTTACCGACTCCCTGGCTGTCTCTCTCCGTCTGCTTCGCGTCAGCTCTCTTGTTGGTTGAGTCGGTTGAGTCAGTGTCGAGGGGATGCGTCTGCGGGATGGTATGGTGGGTGCGCGGCGGCTGCGACACTACAACATCTTGTGTTCCGAAATGAAGCGGTATCAAGCGGTTTCGTGTCCCTCTCGGTGTGTGATTTCATACGTGCGGACGGGGGGCGGAGGAGGTGGCGCGAGGATGGGGGCCCTATTCAATAAGGCCGGCCGGCCGCGCATGGCCCGACGTAAAAAGATTTGTTTGCCTTTGGTATGCTTTCTGTATGCTTTCTGTATGCTTTCTGTATGCTATCGGTTCGCGGAGGGTCGCGCTCGGTGCGCCGATTGGTCGCCGAGGTTCGTCA